GGCGATACTGGCTGGAGGGTGTATGGGCGTTCTGTCGCGTGTGTGGTCGGGGTTCGGGGCGGGTGGTGAGGTGGGTGGTGCGGCTGCAAAGCCGAGGTCTCGTGAGCTCCATGCGTCTGAGTTGGGCGTGGAATGAGCTGCGTTCGGTGGAGAGCTCATCTGTCGTAGCTGCTCGAGGTAGATGTCGGCGTGTGGGTGAGGCATCTCGTAGGGGCCTGGGATGATCGCGGTGAGGGCGCCTTCGATCTCGCGGTGGATGCGCTTCTCCTCTGAGTCGGCTAACGCCTGCTGTCTGTTTTCCTCCTCGTCTCTCTCGCTGAATCTCGTGTTCAATTCTTGCAACAGTTCAAGATCAAGAGGGTCATGATGAAGCTCGGCTTGTCGAAACTCACGTTGCATTTCCTCCCTTTCCTTTATTCGCATCTCCTCGGTCGTCGCCAGGCGGTTGATGTACCTGTCGTGGAGCTGCTGCTCGGTGAGGTGTAGGTTGGCACGTTCGCCTTGGAGTCGGGCTCGTTCGTGCTGATGCTCGGTGCGAATCGTGGCTGCTTCGTGTTGTTGCGCACGCAGTTCACCGTACTCCTCGAGGATCTTCTCTTTGGCTTGCATGAGTGCCGATGATTCCGCATGAGCCCTGCAGTTGATTTCATGAAGCTGTCGTTGCTGAGCCAGTCGAAGTGCGTCTTCTTGTTGCTGCCCTCTCATCTCGTGCTGGAGTAGGAGGTTGTGGGCACACTGAGCTTCCTCCTGTTGAAGGCGGTGCTCGGATATTAGATGCTGGAGCCAGAATGGCTTAGCCTCCCGTAGTTCGTGTTGCTGTACTGCTTCCCGCCGTGCAAGGTGACCACGTGCGGCGTCGTGAAGTAGTTGGTGCTGTTCGAGCTCGGTCTTCATGCGATGTGCCTGTTCAGCTTCATCTTCCTGACGTCGTTGTTCGGACTGTCGTAGGAACCGTTGTGCCTGCTGATGTTCTAGGTGGCGGTTGCGCACGTTGATCTCGTCTATCTCCTCCTGGAAGCGGCGCTGGATTCGTTGCTCGTGGTGCTGTAGTTCGAGATGAAGCTCGTTGAGGGCCTTCCGAGACGTGTGTGCTTCCATGCGCGCAAACTCCTCCTGCAACTGTTCGCGGTGCTCGGATTGTCGGAGATCAGCTTGTTGGTGGAGGTGAGCTAGGTGTTGCTGATAGGGTCCCGTGTGTTGTCGCTGCTGGTCCACCTTTTTGGAGAGGTCCGTGATCATCGCGAGCAGCTCTTTGTGACCTTTTTGGTGTGGGTCATCCTGCTGTCGAAGTGGTGCTGCTGCTGGTGCTGCGTACTGCTGGGGTCGATGATCTTCGCGCTGTCGTGGATGGGGTGCTTCCGTTGTGCGTCGCTCTTGGCGTGCTCGCGGATGTGGTGTTTGTGCTCGTGCAGTTCGGACCTCATGTGCTGCTCGCTCGTGCTCTTCCTGGTCTCCGTGGTAGTCGTCGTCCTCAAGATCCGAGTAGAGGTCGTGGTCGCGCTTGTCTTTCGCTTCTTTCATCAGGGCCCGTAATGACTTGAGGTCGCTCTCGATGCCGTCGTGTTCGTTCTGGAGCTGCTTGATCTTGTCCCTGATGCTGCCCTTCCTCCTGATCGTCCTGTCGATGCAGTGCCTGAAGTAGTCGACCCGTTCCTCTGCCGAAACCGTGAGCAGTATCATCGCCTTCGTGATGGCCAGTTCCTCCACAACTTTCGTGTCGTCAACGCCCACGGCTCTGGCTCCACTGGCTTGGTCTGCGAGTCGCCCTGCACGTCCTTTCTTGGTGTTGATCCAAAGCTGGAGCATGTCCTTCTCCACGGGTGGGTGCGAGTAGCTCTCATGCTGAACCATGTCGTGCTCCATTGCTGGCATCACCGTGTCGATGATCTCGCGCTGCTTCCTGGTGAACTGCAAGCTGTCGAAGACGTCGTGGCCGTTGTCCCTGGCTGTCGAAGTACGCGATGCCTTTCGTGAGGCGGGACGGCTCCAGGACCGCTTGCTGGGGTACTTAGAGCTCCTCCAAGGCCATGGCTGCTCGCCCACTGCGGGCCCAGGGTGTGTGGTCCCTGCTCCTGACCACCTTTCCCCTGGGCCCCGCGCGGGCGCCTGGGTTGTGGACCCTGCTCCTGTCCACTTTTTCCCAGCGCCGCGCTGCGGCGCCTCGGTGTGTGTGGTCCCTGCTCCTGACCACCTTTCCCTCGAGGCGCCGCGCTGGTGCTTCCAGTTCTGCGTCATCTGGTCGACGGGCTGGGCGCTGTGGTGGCCGTTCAGCACCTGCGCCGCGTCGATGATGCGGAAGAGGGTTCTCGCGGCTGCTCTCTTCTCCCGCTGCCGCCTGTGCCAGGCGGGCTCGCCCTCGCGGGGCGTGGCGGCAACAGCCGCCGCGGCTGCGGCGCCGATGGCGCGCTGCGCGCGGCCACGAGCGGCGGGGGCGACCGACGAGACGACGGCCCCGCCCCTCCTCAGCCCGTGGCTCCTCCTCCTCCTCCTCCTCCTCCTCCTCCTCCTCCTCCTCCTCCTCTTCGTCCGCCAGTATGTTTGTCTGTTTGTCTGTATGAGTTGCGTGGTGCTCACGTGCGTTTGTATGTGTATCCGCGCGCTGCGTCCTCCGTGCGCCTGTATGTTTGCGTGCCGCGTCTTGCGCGCCCTCCTTCTCCTACCTGTTTGTGGTGTACATGTGCGGGGCACTGTCAGCCCGCATAGTGAGGATGGGCAACCTTCCCAAGGGTGGTACCATTGCATCTTTGCCCCGCCGGCCCATCTTTTGCGAATTTCGTTGGCCAACCTCGTTCGACAAGCTTTAGCATGGCTCTCTCAGGCCCTCGCACCCTTACCCCGCATCCTTATGATATGCGTTGATTGTATGCATGTCTCTTCTACGTGTGTGCGTGGCTGCATGTTGCGTTCGTGTGCCTTTGCGTGTGCGGTTGACAAGCAGAGGGTGTGGTGGATGTTCGTGTGTGTGTGTGTAAATGTGTGTGTGAGGGAATGAGAGACGCGTGCGCGACGCGGGTGGGAAGCGAACCAAGACCCCACTTCACAATTTGCTGTGCCTTTCCGGGGGGACTCCTAGAGGTCTTCTTCGCGCCCCCTTGGGCCGTCGAGGGAGCCTGTTGGGCCGCCTCGTGGCCATATTTTAGCCGTCCTTGGCCCGTCTTCGTTGTCGTCAGGGCGTGGCCCCCCTTGGGTGCTCTGGACTCAGCCCCCCAGGCCCGTGCGCGAGTTGTGGATCCGTTTTCTCCATGTGCTGGAAAGCAGTGGCTGCTTGAGACTAGCACAGCTAGACACAGGGAGTCAGAAGGTGATAGCGAGAGAGAGAGAGAAGGAAAGAGAGAGAGAGAGAGAGAACAACAAGTAAGACGGTGACAGCATTGGACAAGGAACCCTTAGATAAGGAATCCAGGGTCTTGGGAGCTCCGATCTTGTATCGGCCACGGATAACACTGCCGCCCTCGTCAGATATGGACCCCCCCAGGGTCTGAAGCCTCCTGGGCCCATGCCTTAACAGATGTCCCCACCGTAATGAAAGGAAAAGAGGAAGGAGAGAACAACAACGAGAGAGAGAGGGGGGGAGGGACAGAGGGGGAGACTCACCGAGCGCGTTCCACTAGCTACTCGCACAGTGCCTGCTCGCAAACGTCCGAAAATCATATGTCTGCACTGGTGTAGTGTATCGTAAATCCCCCATGGCGGACCCAGGCCATGTGCGAGTAGTTACTTTGCGAGTCGTGGAGCGCGCTTGAGGGGGAGACGCAAGCAGAGTGGGAGGAGGAGGAGGAGGAGGAGGAGGAGGAGGAGGAGGAGGAGGAGGAGGAGGAGGAGGAGGAGGAGGAGGAGGCGGGAGGAGGAGGAGGAAGGAGGAGGAGGAGGAGGCGGAGGAGGGGGAGGGGGAGGAGGAGGAGGAGGGAGGGAGGTGGAGAGGGAACGAGACGGGAACGATGCCTCGGGCGTGCGAGGAACTGCGCCAGGAGCTGGCGAGCCTCACGGAGGAGGCCAAGCACGCCTCGCTGGAGCTCGAGGCCGCCACCGCCACCGCCGGCCTTCGCCTCGCCGGAGGGTCGAGGAGCGTCCCCCGAGATCCGGCGCTCCAACAAAAAAAATCCGACGGCGACGAAGAAGACGACGAGAAGGCGACGACGACGACGACGACGACGACGACGACGACGACGACGACGACGACGACGACGACGACGACGACGACGACGACGACGAGCAGGCAGTTTTCGACAGTTTTCGGCCTCCGGGGGCCCTCGCGGGGCCTCGGGGGCGTCAAAAAAGGTGCGGGACGAGAGCTTGGTCCTGGAGAAGTGGTCCGGACCTCAGGGGCCCACGCATCGAACGAAATGGGGCAGCCGGATGTCTGGGTCCTCGCCCTCGATCTATAGGCTCGAACCTGGGACCGAGGTCCGAGTTCACCGCGGAGGAGATGGAGGAGGCAGGCCGAGGTCCTCAGGCGCTCGTGGCGCCTCTCTCCGGGCTCCCGAGGCTCGCCTCCTCGGCCCGGCCCACCCCTTCGTTGCCCCCTGCGCGCTCCAGGCCTGCTCCTCCTCCTCCTCCTCCTCCTCCTCCTCCTCCTCTTCCTCCTCTCCTCCTCCTCCTCCTCCTCCTTCTCTCCTCCTCCTCCTCCTGCCTCCTCCCACTCCTCCATCCTCCTCTCCGCCTCCTCCCCCCCCTCCTCCCTCCTCCTCCTCTCCTCCTCCTCCTCCTCCTCCTCCTCCTCCTCCTCCTCCTCCTCCTCCTCCTCCGTCCTCCTCCTCCTCCTCCTCCTCCTCCTCCTCCCCGACCCACTCGCCCATCTCTTCCACGACGGCCCCAAGAGCGGTCCACGAGGGCCCCAAGACGCCCGTCTTGGGCCTCCGAAGGGGGGGGGCCTGAATCTAAGGCCCCCCTTGTTTTGGAGCGGTTGAGCGAAGGAGTCCAAGACGGCCCCAAGACGCCTCCCAGACCCCCCGGAAGAGACCCACGAGGGCCCCAAAGACGCTCCAGAAGAGCCCCTCCGTAGCCATTCTGGCTCAGGCCGCCACGCCTCGAGGCCCCGCCGCCCGTGGACCCTGGGAGCCGCACGCGGCGCCCAGAAGGCCAGCGGCGCCTCGTGCCACGCCTGGCCCTTTCCGCGCCCTTTGCCTCCATCCTGGCCCTTCTTCGCGTGCCCGTTGGCGCCATGGCCGTGCGGCGGCTGGTGCCAGCGCGGGAGGTGCTGCTCCTGGCCACCGCTCTGCTCTGGCCCGCCGCCTGCCAGGGGCAGTCGCAGGCAGACGTGGCGGGCGCAGGAGTCGCCGAGCAGGTGAAGAATCAGAAGCGGCAGGAGCTCCTGAACCAGATCTCGTCAGCTCTGGCCGAGTTCAGCAGCGCCGAGGATCGCCTGAAGAAGCTGGAAAGCGACAACTCGCAGAAGGCCGCCGCCCTGACTGAGAGGGAGACAATCACCGCGGGGCTCGAGAGGACCGTGGGCGAGCTCCGGAATCAGGTCCGAGAGAAGGAAGATGCGAACACCGCGCTTTGGAAGGAATACAACGACCTGCACTCGAAGCACAACGCACTGTGGGCGGAGTTCGGCGACCTGCAGGCGAAGTACAAGCAGTTGGAGGCAGCGCAGCAGCGGCTGGAGATGACGTACAGCGACCCCTCGGTGAAGGACTTCTTAGAGAAAGAGGCAACGAAGGTGCGCCAGCACGCCTCCAGCGAAACGTTCAAGTACGTGTTGCCGCCCAGTTCCCGGCAAGGGTCCAAGCTGGCGCTGCGCGACACGTTCAGCTACGGCAGCGTCGAAGAGGCGAGCAGCTGGGGGCCAGCCCAGGGCGGCAGCGTCGTGTACGGCCTGGCGGTCGTGCCACTAGTCTGTAGCGCGTGCTGCTTGGCGAGGGTCGTCTGGAGTCTGAGCCCGTGCCTCATGTTCCTCCACCTCTACCTGGCCGGCTTCGCCCTCTGCAGTGCGCTTGTTGCTGGGTGTACCAGGGTGGACCCGATGGATGCGCTCGCGCTGCACGACCCCTCGGTCTACGTGTTTGCACAGGCCTGTTTCGGGGTCTTCCTCGCCGCGCACACTCTCCTGGTGGCATATCCCCTGGTGATGTGGGTTCGGAGGGTCGACTGGCACGGTGCAGCGAAGAAGGTCGATTGGAATAACCGTGATTTTTCCGAGGCCCTCAAAAGCATCCACTGGTCCGATTGCGCCGAGATCGTTTCGTGCAGGGCCGGGCAGCTGGTGTTGGTCTTTCCATTGGCCGTCAACTACGTCTCGTACGCGTGGTGGCCCGCGATGTCTAATCGCTCGCCGCAGGTAGGGCAGATGGCCTTCCGGCTGGCGGGCTTCATGATGGGGTGGTCCGCGCTTTGCATACCCTACGTTGTGGCGTCTGCCGCGTACTTTGCAGTCTTTCGTTTAGAGCAGACGTTGTGGCGCGCTTCGAGCCCGAATGGCGACAGCAGCGTCATGTCCATATGTGTGAGCGCGGACGCAGAGCTGAGGTTCCACGAGATTGGAGCTACTTTTCGAGCTGCTCGTTTCGTGGATGTTTTCGGAAGTCTCTTCCAGGATCGTCCCCGCTGATGTGTTCACGTATTGCGAAATCGAAGACGCATGCGGCGAACCACCGCGCCCGTGCATGTTGGAAACGCGCATGTGGCCAAGCGTTGGGCCGAAGTCTTGCCGAGCTATTGGGCAATGTGCTCCGCGAGCCGTCGTGGAAACCCTCAAGGGAATTTCCGAGGAGGGAGAACGAGAGGAGGAGCGGGAGGAAGAGACTCGGGGTACACGAGAGAAAAAGCTGGAAGTTCCCTGAGGACGCTCCAACCAGTGCCTACGGGTGGATTTTCCAACAAGCTCAGAGCACCACGGCAAGATGTAGGCGCTTCGCACACATTGTTTTGGTTGTGCCATCATGTGGATGGGGCAGCCATCTGCTTCGTGCCTGTTGGCTTGCCTCGCCTTTAGGACCCGACTTTCCTGCACCACGTGCAGCACGGCGCCCAGACGCCCGACGACGTGACGGTCGAGTGCCAGCGTCAGCTCTTGCGCCTTTGGAGCAGGCTTCGCTCTAAGACGGGCGAGCCGCTGAGCCGCTGAGACGATGGGCTTGCGCTCGCCGTGTGTGAGTTGGCTCGGGCGACTGGAGGTTTGGAGGGGCATTTGAAGGAGAGTGGTTGCTCTCTCGGCCCCCCTTGGACGCAGGCAGTTCGTCCAACTGTATGCGCGGAGCGTGAGCAGATGGCACTGGCCCCGTTTCCCTGGCCACGCGGAGTCCCCGTGTGAATGGTCTGCAGTATTTGTGTGTAGGTTTAGCATGTTGTAGAGGATCAGTAGCTGGGCATTGCATGAGGCGGGTTGCCTGTCGATTTCACATACGAGTCACCCAAAGGGGTGGGCGGATTTCCTTGCCTTAGATGATGTGCGGCACTTCGTCGGAGGATAGGCCCGACGTTGCCTCATCAGCCAGACCACTGTTGCTACTGTCGCCTTGCCTTTGCGGAAAAAAAAAAGACGCTCCAGAAGAGCCCCAAGAGAGCCTCAAGAGAGCCACAGGAGACCCCCAAGAGAGCCCCAAGAGAGCCCCATGGGGAGCCCAAGAGGTCCTCTGCTCGCCTCATTCTTTCGGCACTCCCTCAAAATGCTTCACCACCCTTTCTCTTCCCTGACGCTGTGCTGATGCTCGCTCGCATGTTTCGCGCATGGTTTTAACACAGGGTTGCCCCGAGCTGGCTCTGGATACTGTCGGGGGTGGACAGAGCCCCCAACAGTGACACGTCGATTAGTGAATTGTCCGTTTTCGGTTCTCGAGAGGGCGTCGTGGCCGTTATGTTCCAGATTTGCGCCCGCCAGATTTGGGCCTCAGGTCGTTTTCACTAAACCACGTTTTACTAAAGGGGGGTCTGTCCATCCCCGATACCGTCTTTCCCATGAGAGCGGCCTCGGCGTCAAAAAGTTGATCGGCGCTGTTCTCCCGTGGTTCAGAGTGGCGCTCTCGCCCCAGCGCGGGCCACGCTTCCGGATCCTATGGCTTCCTCGTCGTTGCGGCACCCCTCCTCTCCCCCTTCCGCCTGCACCTGGTCCTCGTACTCCTTCTCCTCCTCCTCCTGCTCGTGATGCTGCTCCTCACTCTTCCTCCTCCTCCTCCTCGTCCTCCTCCTCCTCCTCCTCCTCCTCCTCCTCCTCCTTCTGGATCCGATGACTTCCTCGTCGTTGCCGCACCCCTCCTTTCCCCCCCTCCGCCTTCACCTGGTCCTCGTGCTCCTTCCGCTCCTCCTGCTCGTGATGCTGCTCCTCACTCCTCCTCCTCCTCCTCCTCCTCCTCCTCCTCCTCTCCTCCTCCACCTCCTCCTCCTCCCCCTCCTTCCTCCTCCTTCTCCTCCTCCTATCCTCCTCCTCCTCCTCCTCCTCCCCTCCTCCTCCCCCCTTCTCCCTCCCTCCTCCTCCTTCCTCCTCCGCCCTCCTCTCCTCCTCCTACCCCTCCTCCTCCTCCCCCTCCTCATCCATCCTCCTCCTCCTCCTCCTCCTCCTCCTCCCCTCCTCCCCTCCTCCTCCTCCTCCTCCTCCTCCTCCTCCTCCCCCCTCCTCCTCCTCCCATCCCTGTTCCTCCAATGTACACAGCTCCCCTTTCCGATGGCGCCTCACACGGCTGGTCATGCTGGAGACCCGCGTCCGCTGTGGCAACCGACCCGGCGGCATATTCTTCTGCGATTCGGTGTGCGCTCAGCTGACGGAAAGGATGTTGGGCGAGTGCGCGCCCGAATTCGTGCATTCAGCGACGTGACTTGATCTTGAGACTGCCACTCCTCGCCGAATCATATATATATATATATATATATATATATAGAGAGAGAGAGAGAGACAGATCAGCGCCATGGGGAGGGATTGGTTGGAGGGAGAGGACGTCAGACACGGCGCGAACGCACCCAGCTCGACCCTCGCCTCTGCCCTGCCCCGTCCCTTCCCCCGGTCCAGGCGCCCGTGCCTTTCCGTCCGCGCCCTCGCCCCGGGTGCCCCACAGG